TTAGTAGGATGCTTCCACATGAAACTCGTCACGTATAAAATCGGTCAGCCTCTACTTGAACCAACCCAGTAAGATAGCCATAGTTGATGATCTTGGATGACAGCTTAGCAAACTGTATTCTCCACCGTCGAGCGGCAAGTCACTATTGTTTAACAGAAGTGTTTCTTGTTTCGTAGGCTCATTTTCTGTGAAATTGCGATGCCATATGATCAGCGTGTGATTAGCCGCGCTTAGACGTTTGAACCTGTAAAGAGTTAATCAATATTTTCGAAAATGTTAGCGATCACAGTATCTTGCGAGCCTAGGTGTATTTGAGCAAGTCGTGGGACTACCACGTCGGCAATGGCTATTGATCAAGGGAATATCTGCAATGGCCTATGTGCTTAATTCGGTACTCTGGTAGGGGAATAGTTGCAACATCCGTGTTTCCCGTATCATACACTACATTGAGATTGTGCTGTCACTGCTATTCCGTGGTATAATCTAACTACTACTAGGGAATGAGTTGAACCCGTGACTGTGCACGATGATCTTTTTGTGCACGGTGGCATAAGGTCGAACATGTTCCCTCGACAAGACAGTACTATAACCGAGCTACACTTATTTCTTTGTCATAGAAATACTGATGGACTCGTAAATTATCTTAGTCTGTCAAACTAAAAAGTGCATTAGCTTAGAGGATCGTCAGCCTTTACATTTTTAGTGAGACTTAGCACCAAGTGTTTGTACAAGCTCGCAAGCTGCTAGTCCTGGTCAAGAATCTATCGACTCCAAGATTAACGTGGCAGTAATGCCCGAAAGAACTTAATTTTGACTCAGGCACTTAACTTTTGTGACTCGAGAAGTCTTAGAAAGACGCGTATCTGCAACTGATCAAAAGGGGAACTGAGTACATTGACTGATTTACGACGACATTGAACCTTGCTTACGTCTTCAGCCTTAAAACTATGCTACCTAATCGAATAGTCCCCATGGTAATTCTTTTTTGTGTACCACAACAGAACTACGTCATCTACATAAAGACCGTATTAAGATAGACATCCTCTACCCGCAACTGATTATCTACGGTGTTACCGCTTAGTGTATTGAGTACAAAAATACGCCTTATCAGTTTCATTAATTTCCTTATATGTTGATCACACGACACCATACCGGTTTTACCAAACGTTTGTATGATTTGGTGTACTTGCTCATGCGATCGATGATGAGTTATCATTTTCAAATGTCGCTCGAAGAATTGTCGGGAGGCAAGACTAGAAATTTTTGGCTGGTTGCTGCTAAAGATAGATCGCAAAAGAACTGACAGAACTACTGTAGGGGAAGATTCGCCGAAGCGTTGTAGCCCGACACGCATTCACTACTGTCCAATTACCGTCACCGTTAAATTAATTACAGTGGCTAGTGCTCAAGGCAATGGTCATACTGCTTATACTAGTCTGTCGTTGATGGATACGGCACACACAATTAAGAAAATCAGATCATGCCATTCCTACCGCAATTTTTGAGATGCTTTGTGTCGATCCTACGTTGTACGGCTTCCAGATGCTGTCCTGGTTGTGCAAGAGTGCGGTCTTGGACGTGACCATCAAGAACAGAATACCACACTCGAATATTCACTGATCTTGATGTGAAGTCGATCTACGTAGCAATTGATGTCTCCATCTATGACTTCATCGATCTCTTTATATTTCTCGGCGCGATATATTAGGTGTTTAAATGCTTGTACATGCCAGTATTAGAGTGGCGTACCATTACAATTTGTCAAATGCGACATTTCCTTTGCACAGAAACAGTAGTTGTTGAGGTTATTACTGCACTTCGATTGAGCACCGATAATACATGTGAAAAACTGTTGACCGTAGCGGTCTTACGATCGTAGCACTTACTCAGCCGACGTTGTATGGTCCAGTAGTAAGCCAGCTATAAGCATCCAAGATAAGTCATGGTCGGGATCGTAGTGCTGCTTAGCTTACCACGTAATGTTTTTGTCTCCCATGCATCTGTTTCTACAGTAAGTAAGGCGCCGTGGATTGGTTCAAGCAGTTTGACTGGGTGTGTACCTATAGTTTCCTAAATCAAACAGCTATAAACTTAAAGGATCTCTTACTTTTACAGACGTAATAAGAATATTCTCGATGCATCTAAGTAAGCTCATTAGCTTCTAGTCCTGGTTCAAGGGACTAGCGATTCACAGGAAGTACGCACTGATCCCCAGAAGTACTAGTCCTCATCTGGGCGCTTAACTATTACTATCAAGACGTCTAATTAAGACATGTGTCTTTGTTTTATCAAAAGGGAAACTAAAATATTAACTGGATTATTGCAATTCCGAAGGGTGAATATTGTAGTGACTGTGCGCAAGGTGAATGCCGAACCTTTCCAAACTGTATTTATCTTTGTGTGTGTGAATATTGCAGGTGTGTATTACGTGCCGTGGTAAGTGCGATGTAGCATGTCCCCTCTTCACAGGTATCACGCTTTGATCAGGTCACTAATTGCGACTGAAAATGTGTAATATTCACACGCGCATGTGATTAACCAGGAAACGATGAAGGGGTGTCAGAGGGCTAACAAGCAAATACTAGACACTCAGAGGGCAGCAAAACGCGTGCACCTTACGCAAACAGTTAGTGTGAAGTGGTTTGATTTGAATTACTTGAAGTAGTAAGATATAGTATCCAAGATTTTTTTATCGGTAGCAGTGGAAACTTCTTCCACTACAATTTTCGTTAACGTAAAAATTGAATATCGCAGACCGCATTTTGTTCTTTACGGCATCACCGTGCAGTACCATCCCCATTTTTTTAGTTTGAGCCCGGCGGAAGAAGCTGTCTGTGACTGTGCGCAAGCTGAATATCAAGCCTTTGAACTGTACTTATCTGTGTGTGGCGCGCGTGTCTGCGCGTCTGTGAATAGTGCTAGGAGCACCATACGCGTAGTATTAAGTGCGATTTAGTCCATCACCTCCTGCGTTTGTGAATGACACCAGGCTACCTTACACGTTGTATTAAGTGCAATGTACATTGTCACCCATTGCACTCGTGAGTAACACTTGTTGTACCTTACACGTCGTACTAAGTGTGATGTAGCATTCATTTCTTCTACATCATTTATACGCATTATCGCGAGCCTGGAGGATGAAGCTATTAGTGACTGAGTGCAAGGTACGTGAATATGCAGTACTTGATTTAAATCTATGGACTAAGGGTTACTAATATCAAAGGGCGAACTTCAGAGCTTTCTCCACCATCTCAGCAAACGTAAATCTCATCTACGTATTTTAATCTTCAAACTCTGCAGCATAATTTAAGAATCCTGGTTTTTTTGGAAAGGTTAAACGCAGTGGTCACGAATGAGTGATTACTGGTGATTTGTGCGGCCAATCAAACAATGGCTTTCCAATCTGAATCTGTTCCACCCGATCTGATTATGATGATACTATCCTATTTATGGTAAATCTACCCTTCTCGAAGTTCTATCGCATTTTCTATAATCGCGATTTCTGGAAGACGATGAGCTACGGAGGCCAAGGTAGCGGAGAAGCACAGAGGGAAGCTGTTTGTTCCACCCATTTATGACCTATGCATTGTGGTCCTGTTGATGTTTTTGTAATCTTAAGGAGCATACTGCATTCATTTGAGGCCTACATACGCCGCTTAACACGTATGCATGTCTTTTAGCTATTACGTTCAGGATCACGATTGTAGAACCCATTGCCATCAAATTTTTGCCTTAGAATATTTTTTAATCACCATCCATTGATCCTTGTCTTGAAGCTGGCTGTACTGATAGTGTTGTTGTCGTTGTTGTCGTCGTCATTTAAGTCACTTGTTTGCGGACAATGACTCTGCTGTCTTAATTATTAGTTTATCGTGACGTACTAAAACCAGTTTTAGGAAATTTATAACCAGTTTCTTGATGTTGTCACCGGGAATGCAATCACTATGGTGCTAACTAGCATAGTCATTTCAGCCAAAAAAGACTTGATAGTAGTACACGACATGAATATGTTTGCATGAAACAAGTGTAGTGCGCTTCGAACTAGGGTCCACGTTAACTTACCCACTCTATTTAGGACCATCAACGTCAGTTCAGTCGCTCTGCTATTCAACTTTTTGCTTTGTAGCTCATTGCCTGCCAGCAAATGCCATTACAGCAAATACGATTAAAATTCGAAGTAGGGCAGGTCAATCAAAATTAGGATGGTCTCATCAGAATTAGATCAGGCAAAAAAGATTCAGATTGGAAAGCCATATTTTGATTGGTCCAAACAAATTGCCGGTAATGATCCACTCGCAAAAGGTACGTTTAACCGTTCCCTTTTTGCATTTCTGATGTTACCTTTTCAGAAACTTCAGCGTACTCAGGATGCTTTTTTACGATAGATACCATCTAACTGTAACCGATAAGGTACAATATTACCGCGAGTGTAGCAGACACAATCATACGCCTATCGGTTCTACTGAGTTCTCCGTGTGTGGACCACACGACACCATACCGGTTATGTCAACCGTTCGTGTGGGCCCGTTACACGCACAGTGAGCTATGTCCCACCAGCATACAGCAAGAGAGGCAAGGAAAAGTTGACAGTGGGCAACAGATGGGACGTACATTTGAGCTTTCGTCGTGTTGACTTTGGCTTAGATCAGTCGCAAGTAAAAATTTCAGGCTATGGGATGAGCTCTATCTGAATTGTTTTGCAAATCCGTGGTACGTAGGAAGATGTGCAGCTGTTGCAGATTACGAGAGAGAGTACGCAGAGTTCCAAACATTTCAAAAGGCTTCACTCTCCTTATTAACAACAATGAAGAAAGGACGTTGGTGTCCACAGTCTAACGCAGTACTCCGCCTTTTCACCAAGATCTGTTCAACGCCCCGTCCATCACATTTATGCTATTACCGTTGACGTACCGACTCGGCTAACCAACCCAAAAAAACATTACGTACACATGTTGATGTAGTCCAGCTCACCCCGGTTTTCTGCCAGAGCTTTAAAACATTCAGTTGTAGCGAGTGACCACGCGGCCATTGAGAGGCTGCACCGGGCGAGCGTTGTCACCGTCGTCAGTGATGTGGTACTCAACCAAGTCCTGGTGAAGACGGCCAAAGTCGATCGAAGAGATCTTGATCGGGTTTTGCACCACCCACCAGTCAGCATTCTCTTCGCAACCCGGGGTCGTGAGACTGCCTGCGTAGTTGTAGATGCCACCTACCGATGCAGCCTTCCGCACCATCGTCGAATAAGATTTCCTGTGCATTAGAGAATAAATACCATTAGAACAGCGCTATTGACCCCCCCCCCGCGTCTCATTGTGTTACGTACAGATTCACCACGATTGCCTTGGAATGAGTGGTGGAATTAACCAGCTCCAGAGCATCCAAGACAGGGCCCAACCAACTATCCGATTTCGGGCCAATCTGGATAAAGATGCCCACCACCAGTAGTGCCTTGCCGTCATCGGACACATGCACGAAGTGGATTTCGCCGTCCATGTGTTTGTTGTCCAAGGTGTGCTCCAATGGAGCGTGCAGGTGAAACTGCGCCAGCTTGAAATTCTTGTTGTTCAACGAAACAGTACAGTTGCCTGAATACAAATTCAATCACATTATAATTGAGCACAATTGTAACGGGGTGAATCGTTACATATTAATTTATAAGAAATTGTTAATAGAATATAACTATAAGAGTTATATTCTCAGAATATTGTCATAAGGACAAATATTCTGTAGCACTTACGAGTAGTTCCTAATTGGTTGATACAGGCCATTATATTAACCAACGAAGACGCGCCACGACAGACGCACGCAATGAGTGGTGAGCAGATAACTGATTTACACATTTGTATTTAGACATAGTTAGATGAAGATAAATAGTGATTTATTGCAGACATTAACTATTATAAATACAGTTCTACTTTTTACTCTAACCAAGTACTCGCTTCTTCTTACCGTCTTCCTCTGCACGTACCAGTGTACGTGAAGTTACGAGGCACGGCCTTATTCTGTCATCAGAATAATTAGCTTGTACTGTCACCAGTACAAGCTTCAGGGTGCCCCGTTACACCTGGTAGCACTTGTTGGTCAAAGCTTTCACGCTACGCGTGACGGCTACTCCCATTTGAGCGATGTCGAATGGGATGCGGTTGAACGAATGGGTTCGACCATGGGCATCCATGCTGTTAGCGTCATGCTAGAGGCTCTCAATAGAGATGCCCAACATGCTACTATCGCCAAGTTCATTCAAAATGAACTTGACGCTGAACGCGAGAAAGTAGCCTTGCTTCACCAACAAGGTTCTCAACAAGCAGAGTTGTTGAGAGAACAGGGTGCTCAACAGATTGATCTGTTGAGACAGCAGCAGGCTGCTGCTGGTGGGTCGATGCACTCGCGTCGACCCGAAACCTTGAAGTTTGACATCTCCAAGTATAGGGGGGTCGAAGAGGACTCCCTCTTGAGATGGTTCGTCGAATTGGATGACGCCATAAGGGCGCATCGCATCGACGACGGGGATATGCAAGTTGCATTTTCCCAATCAAATCTGGCAGGACGTGCCAAGACTTGGGCACTGGGGCTCAAGTTGCACGACCCGTATGCGTTTGGGTCGTTGGAAGTCTTCAAGTCGCGGCTCAGACAAACGTTTGAACCGCCTAGAGCTGAGTTCAGAGCTCGGACTGAACTTTTAAAGCTCAAAAAAGGTAAGCGTATTGTGCACGCTTACGCACAACATACATGACATCTCATGAGTTGTATAAGTTCTAACCCGGTGGATGAACACACGTTGGTTTCGGTGTTCATGCAGGGTCTTGCGGATGGTCCCGTCAAGACTCACCTGTTCCGACTTGAACTAGATTCACTAGAACAAGCCATTTCCATTGCGAAACAGGAAGACTTCAGTCTGAGACAGGCTCGCGCCAGCTCGACATCATATCGTCAACCGAGACGATATGACAGCGGAGGTCCAGAGCCGATGGAGCTCTGTTATGTAGAGAGTGAGAAGGCTCACTCTACAGACTACAAGAAGTTGCAGAGATGCAACAGATGTCAAAAGACAGGACACTACGCTTACGAGTGTAGTGCCCCTCGTCCAGTGTCTCGCAACACTGGGAGTAGTGACCGTCCACCCATGAGAAAGGGGCAGGGACGAGGGTCCGCTGTTGGTGCAAAGACGCAACAACAGGATGGACCGTCAAAAAACGGACAGGATCAGTAGGTGCGGAGCACCCTACTGGTCCAGCAACGTCAAGATAATTTGTGGGCCTCTTGATGAAGGTTGCTCCCAACACACAAACGTTGTGCGTTGCTGCTCTAGGTAATGAGATCTCACTCATTACCTTGAAACTCGAAGTGACGAATAAGTTGTCCCTTCGAGCTCTAGTCGATTGTGGGGCGTCCAACAATTTTGTGCGACGCCAATCGCTAGAAGATGGTCACTTTAAATTCAGTGAATGTGACACACCTTCTACGAGGATGACGGTACGTCTTGCGACAGGCGCATCCGTAACCGTCGTGAAGCGTATAGTGAAGATCCACTATACGCTAGAAGATACCCAATGTGACGATGACTTTATCGTATTGGATTTGGATGACAAATTTGATGTCATCCTTGGAATACCGTGGCTCAGAAGGTACGAACCACGGGTAAACTGGCAACATCGAACAGTAACAATGCCTGCCGCTTGTTCATCAGATGGCCATCTAATGAACGTTTTGGAGCGTCCACAAGCGTGTGGATGTACTACGAGTGAGTGCGATGGCCTCACTTGTGGTACGGTCGTTAGTACGACTGCTCAAAACCTTAGTGTACCAAACGGTTACACTTCGGAGAAAAGTTCCGGTGGCTGTGAGGAAACACAGGCTGCGCCGAAGGTCCACCACTCGAATAAGTCGGGTGGACTGGGACAAAGATGTATCCCTAGCGGGGAACATCTAGAAGAGAAACAATCGATCGCTCAGGTTAAGCGAAACGATAATCCTAGATCGACTGGAGAGTCTTTCGTAGAGGATCTCGCTGTGGTTGCGCAACCCAAGCTAGAGGAAATAAAGGGAATAAGTCCCAAGATTACAAATACGGCGGAAATAAGTTCCCCGAAACCCGCGGGAATAAGTCCCCGGGAAGACGAAGGAATAAGTCCTTCGAAGCCTGAGGGAATAAGTCCCCAGGAAATGACAGAGACATTGAATGTCATAGTCAATAACGGATCAAGTGTAGGCGCTTATACACTTGATCTGATTGCGCCTCCGAAGTTAACTTCGGAGATCACTCAGTTGCCAACGCTCGAACATAAAAGGTTCTTGCGTGATCTGCGTAGTGGCAAAGTCAAGCAGATCTGCGTACTCGTCGCTGAAGACGAGTGTGTAACCGACATAGGGTCAGCAACAGTGTTCACTGAGAACGAGAGAGTTCTCAGTAGTTCATCAATGGACGTGAGTATCCTCGATGAAAAGACACGGATTGAGCGATATGACTCCCAATCATGGGAATCGCTCAAGAAAAATCCTCTCTATGAAGATTTGGTTGAATTCAAGGATGTATTCCCTGAAACTGTTCCGTGCGAATTACCGAAGGATAAAGGTATTCGACACGAGGTCGAGCTTAAACCAGGCTCGAAGTACTGTGTTATGAAGCAGTGGCCACTGCCTCGTGAACAAGTACTTGCGATCGACAAGTTCTTTGCCGATCGTTTAGCTGCGGTCCATGTGAGGGAATCAACTTCCCCACATAGCTCTCCGACCTTCTGTGTGCGAAAAGCAACAGGAGGGTGGCGGATAGTGCACGCGTTCAACAAATTGAACGCTGCAACGGTACCGGATCAGACGCCGATACCAACGAAGGACGTAATCATTGATGGTATGTCAAAGAGTACCATCTTTTCGTCCATGAATTTGATGGATGGCTTCTATCAAATCCTTATGCGGGAACGGGATATACCCTATACCGCAGTTAGCACGCCTAGCGGCATGCTCTGGGAATGGCTAGTGATGCCACAAGGGCTTAGTAATGCCCCTGCCACATTCAACAGATGTGTATCACACCTGTTGAGACCAGTACGAGAATTCGCGCCGAGTTATTTCGATGACGTATTCATCCATAGTCGAGCTATGGATGGAAAGTCTGATGTTGAGGTTCACAGGTACCACGTCCGACAGGTTCTTACAATCATGCGAAAGCATCAATTGTATGCAAACCTCAAGAAGTGTGTATTTGCAGCAAGCAAAATACCACTTCTTGGGTGCATCGTTGGTAACAACGGTGTACGTCCTGATCCCGAGAAGATCAAGGCGATCACCGACTGGCCTGTGCCGGTCGATGTCAAAGGCCTTCGAAAATTCCTTGGGCTAGCGGCGTATTTGCATAAGTATTCACGCAATTACGCCGAGATGACTGTGCACCTCTCTCGTTTGTTGAAAATGAACGAGAGGTGGTTATGGAACGCTGAATGTCAAAGCTCCTTTGAGGGTATCAAGCAGAGCTTGATACAATCCCCAGTCCTAGCAATAGCCGATCAGGACAGGCCATTTCATGTGGTCTGTGATGCCAGCGATTTCGCAATCGGCTGTGCATTAATGCAGTACGATCTTGAAGGCGTTGAACGCGTCGTCTGCTATCAGTCGCGTCAGCTGCAACCAGCTGAGCGGAACTATCCAGTGCATGACAAGGAACTCCTTGCCATGAATTATGCACTCGCGAAGTTCAGAGTCTATCTATTAGGAGATAGACCCTTCGTTGTTTACACTGACCATGCGTCATTACGCACGGCAGTGAACAGCCCGCACCTTTCACAACGAATGGCGCGGTGGTTGTCATTCTTTGCGGAATACAACTTTACGGTCGAGTACAAACCAGGACGACTTAATGTCGTCGCTGATGCACTCTCACGTCGTCCCGACTTTGAAACAGTCGCGAAACCCGACAGTGAGACAGTCACTGTTGCGGTTATGACGTCCTCAGTCCCATCTACACCGTTGTATGATGATGTGAGGCGGGCATACGCCCAAGATGGTGAGATAGTGAAGTTGTTGACACATCTCTCCCAACCATCTCGAGAATCGTTGAAATGATTGTCGCCTGTGTATCGATCTGCATCCGATCGATACACTACTCGCAACGGTTTACTGTATTATACAGCCGTTTCTGGTGACACACCACGTGTTGTCATTCCAGATGATACTGATCTGCGTTTGCGGATCATGTTCGAGTACCACGATGCTCCTATAGGAGGACATCGTGGCTGAGAGAAAACATATCTCACGGTAAGTCGAGACTTTTACTGGCCCCGCCAGTATCAGTTTGTGCGAAAGTATGTTCGCGCATGCGAAGTCTGTCAACGAGTGAAGTCAAGTCCTTCACTGCGTGCACCTTTACAGCCTCTACCGGTTCCGGCTGAGTGCTGGGAATCCATCTCAATGGATTTCGTCTTCGGGTTACCCAAAGACGCACGCGGGAATACGGGTATTCTCGTATTTGTTGACAGATTCAGCAAAATGGTACACCTTGTGGCTGTACCAGAGACAATCACGGCAAGTGGCTGTGCTTGTGTCTTTATTGACACCATCTTCCGACTTCATGGGTTGCCCCGTGAACTCGTATCAGACAGATATCCACGCTTCACAGCTGATTTCTGGCGCTCCGTGTTCAAATCACTCGGAACGCGCTTGAAGATGTCGACATCTGATCATCCAGAGTCAGATGGTCCGACGGAACGTGCCAATCGTGTCCTTGAAGAGATACTTCGAGGATACGTACACTCCTTTAAGAGTTGGAGTGAGTTTTTGCCAATGGTAGAGTTTGCCATCAACAACTCGGTGCATGCGTCCACGACACATACACCGTTTTACGTGAATGGCTTGCGCCATCCGCGTGTACCCACCTTACTAGAGTGTAACTCTGGTTTAAGGGGGGGAGGGACTCGCGCGAGCAAAAACCGATTTGGTTCACGCTCATCACGCTCTGACGATGAAGTCATTGCGTTTGATGCCGATATCGATAACATCGATATCGAAGAAGATGATGCCAGTGAGAGTGCGGAAGCCCTCACTGAAGAAGATGATCCCAGTGAGAGTGCGGAAGCCCTCACTGAAGAAAAGGTTGATGTTGCTGCAGTGCGCTCACAGCACACTGAAGCTAACGAGTCATCAGATGAGTTCATACTGGCTCGTGAAACGGTAGTCCGTTTTGTGCAAGACTCCATCGCCGAAGCGGTGGATAAGCAAAAGCAAAACGCTGTCAAGAATGGAAGGGCAACCACTTTTTTATTTAATAAAGGTGACTTGGTCCTACTGTCTACGGTTAATCTACCAAAGCATGTATTGACTAACCTGGGTAGTAGTAAACTACTACCCAAGTACAATGGCCCATTTCGGTATTGCACCGCCTAGGCAATGCATACACGATCGAGTTACCACGTAAGATGCGAACGCATCCCACGTTTTATGTTGGTCGGATTAAGCCGTACCATCAGTACGCTGCTTCTTCCGATGAAGAACGCCCTTGCGCTCAAGCATCTCGCAGAGAGCCTTGTGCTCCCGATGGTGGGCATCAACAAGGGTCTGAAGAGCAGCTATCTCATCCCGAGACCGATCAGCAATCCCACGAGCTACCCTTAGCTCGTCACGAAGAGCTGTCAGAGATCTCTCGTTCTCAAGCTGAGCAAAGGTAAACTCAGCTCGATGCTTCGAGGCAGTGTCCGTCATTTGGAGACGCCTATTCCGCTCATGTTCGAGATCGCCGCGTAACGCAAGACTTACGCGATCAAAGAAGCTCTCGGGAACACACCGATCCACATGATCGTGTGGAGAGCGTCTTCCCTCCTCCTCCACCTCCATTAGAGGACTCTCGCGGTGACCAGCACTATCTAGTTGAGCAGCTGTTGAACCACCGCGACGTGAACGGACGTCGGAAGAGTTATCTTGTCCGGTGGCGCGGCTATCCCCCGTCCTGGGATTCTTGGGAGCCCCGCTCCCAACTGATGATCGAAGTACTGGGTCTGGTTGAGCAGTACGACGCGGCACATCCTGTGCCGCAGAAGGACCGCCGGAAAAAATCTTCCCGGCACGGTCGTAAAGGGATTTCAGGTTGTCAATCCCTTCGTACATCTCAGTAGAGACACGTACGCGCCACCACGGGCTGGTAAGGAGGTAAGCCTCCTTAGGTGCTCGTGCAGAGTTGTTCACACAACATGGGCACGAGTCTCCCCAAGAGAGGCAGGTTAATCCTTTCTCCCTTGACAGACGATGCAGCTTGTAGCGTGCACCTGTCGGGGTTCGCTTTTCAAACTTATCAAGAGCTTTGATAAGTTTGTCGTTCCAAGCGTCACGACCTATATCCTCGAGGTTATGGATGTAGGCGTTCCACGCCTGAAGTAGTGAGGGACCATCACGTTTGTGATTCCTACTGTACCATCGATGTCTAAAGAAAGCATCGATGAAGAATTCATATTCAGCGCGATAGTTTTTCGCGCTGGGGTCAAGGTGATGGATCCTTGACGAATCGAACAATCGTGTTCGATAACGATCACTCGTCGTCGCCGACAAGTGATCCATGACGGATTTTGGAGGCATCCATGCCTTCTTTTCTGGAGCGAGACGCAAGACATTGCGGTCCCGCTCTTCCTGCGACGTGCCGACAGAAGTACTGGCACCTCGCTGTGAAGTGGTGTCCATAGGAGAACCGACACCACTATTAGCGCCCGAGTCTCGCGACGTCGAGCGCCTTCGCTTCGGCGATGGTTCATCTGATTCATCAGATGAACCAAAGATGCTGCGACGCAAAGCATCGTTCATGCCACGCTTGGCAGGCGGCTTAGATTCAATCGCCGTTGATACGGATCCGTCATCCGTATCAGGAGAGTATGAGACACCGAGCTCGTACTCTGTGAAGACACGAGTGTCTTCATGACCAGCGCCTGCATCATCAAGTGACACAGGCTGGGTCGCTTCAGCAACCGATGAGACATCAGTTGCTGTTGTTTCTGCTTCGGCGTCCGCACAGAGACGTGCAGACGCGCTCTCGGCGGCCTTGCTCGCGCATCGCATGGGCTTGTTTACCATGCGATGAGATGTTGGAAAGTGGACGCGGACCAACAAGTGCAAACCCTGTCCCAAATGATTTGGGACGAGTATCCATTTAGTCAATCAGTCACTAAAGTGACTGATGGTTAGGGGGGGGTGATGTAACGGGGTGAATCGTTACATAACAATTTATAAGAAATTGTTAATAGAATATAACTATAAGAGTTATATTCTCAGAATATTGTCATAAGGACAAATATTCTGTAGCACTTACGAGTAGTTCCTAATTGGTTGATATAGGCCATTATATCAACCAACGAAGACGCGCCACGACAGACGCACGCAATGATTGGTGAGCAGATAACTGATTTACACATTTGTATTTAGACATAGTTAGATGAAGATAAATAGTGATTTATTGCAGACATTAACTATTATAAATGCAGTTCTACTTTTTACTCTAACCAAGTACTCGCTTCTTCTTACCGTCTTCCTCTGCACGTACCAGTGTACGTGAAATTACGAGGCACCGCCTTATTCTGTCATCAGAATAAGTAGCTTGTACTGTCACCAGTACAAGCTTCAGGGTGCCCCGTTACAACAATGGCCCTGAACCAAAGTGCATCATCATGAGTAAAAGATAAAAAGCGGCTGTCGCACCTCCCGCAACGTCCACCTCAAGCGGTTCGTGGGGCTCAGTCAGATTAAACTGACCACAGCGTCCGCTAAATTTAAGCGGAAGCTTTTTGCCCTTTCCGGACTTGGCGGTCGTGACGACGTTGATGGGAGACTGACGGGCACCACCGCATGCCGCCCAGTTGGTGTTCCAATTGGAGGTATGCACCATACTGGTGTCACTAGCACGGTATCCCCAGTTAGGACCAGTGGCGACGTCGGCGGAAGCGGTGAAGGCACCAGTCATGATGACAGCGGAGATTGAAGCGATGAACTTCATGCTGTGAAATGTAGGTAAGTTCAGAGGCGAAAGAGAATGGAACGAAGTGTTGTGTCGAACGCAAGTTTGGAAATAAGAGACTTGAAGAGTATAGCGCTAAGCAAGACGAAGGAAGCATTAATTTAGATGGCATGTAGCCGTCTGTTGAAGAGATACATGTGGATTGCAAAACCATCGAGTTGTGGTATTTTGTTTACCACACAAAAAGCGATGTCAAAGGTGATGAAAGCTATTTTTGCAGATCATGCGGTTTACAAACAGCACGTGTGACAGCTAACCTCTTGTTATAAGACCAATATACTTCGACATCTGTCTGTAAATACTTTCCACATGGAATTCGACTTGACTTTGATAGACCAGGATTGCAGCTGTACGCTTTCCGGATCAAGTTTATGGAGCACTTGATGTGCTAGACCTATTGACCGACCATGTGGTCGAACCACAAATTCTAAACAAGCCGTTTTGCTCTACGATGCCTCTTGTACACTTAGTCTTTACATTGTAGATGCAACAACTCGACACGGCGGTCACCGGTATTGTAAGCAACGCCCTAGGAGCAAACGAATAGGGCTATTACAACGGCGCGACGACAGCGTTGCTGTAAAGTACAAGAAGAAGTTGGGACGTATGATTCTTGACGAACAGAGTGTCGCGCGCTACTGTCTTTTTCATACTTCGTCACAGCCTATCCGGGCATACCGTTACGTATTGCTGGTCAGTATGAAGTGCTTGTGGTGTGTGTGATCCATCGCGACAACATGTCCTCAAACGATACCTAATTGGTTCGTTACTTCGATACGTGCGTACAGGACTCAAAAAGCTGTACGAAGATTGCCATAGTGTACGATTGTGCTAATTCTAGCAGGACTGTAAGTTCAAGTGCTTACAGGCTCTATGAGTTACTAACCTTGCATAAACACACGTTTGGGAGAGATGTAGCAAACTGACGACACCGCACAACGTGACAAAGCAGCATGGTGCCAAGCGTTACCAGGGAAGCAATACGGGTCTGAAGTCAACGACAAACCAGGCCTTTATTTGATGTATCACCACAACTGATGTAAATGCCTTCGCGGCTTTACTCATGGCAGGAGGAGTGCTGCAGCACCGTTTGATTTCTCCGTGTGAACGCCCACCGCTTTCGACATCTCCCGATAATTTGCTTTCCTCCGAGTAGCAGCGAGAGACACGAGTTATGCAAGTTGCTATCGATTTAATCCGCGAAGAAGATGGTCCTTACATTTGCAAGGCGCCTAATCCAGACAAAAAGAGCGAATTGACGATAGCTTGTAGGATCGTCAGGGCGCAAACTGGAATTACTACGACTCGACGACTCGACACTAACGTTTGTGCTATTGCCGCTCAAAGCGAGCGAACGCAAGACGATAAAATTCCGAATGATGCAGTACGCCTACAAGGTTCCACTTCTTTGAAACTAAAGGTCTTATTTCTGATCACCTTTCGACGGAGCCGCCGCTCGAAGCCAAGCGATATCTTTATGTGGTCCGAGATTTCTTCTGGTACTACCACACCGGCTGGCAACATTAGGCATGTGCGAGCTCCGATATGCGTCAACACCCAAGCAGAGGTGACCATCGGAGTTTTTGGTGCCGTGGACGTCATCTCAAATGTCAAGGAGAAGCACGCTTACTCCACTCTGGACATCAGTAACCTTGGGCTTGATGTTGTGGAGGTGATCAAAGTATTTGTGGAAGTCAAAAATTGTGCGATCTAGCTTTCGTAAGCTGTATGCAATCGCAATCGAAATACACTTCTAGCCATAAATCACGGATATGCGTAACAAGCATTTAAGCTAATTTTTCATTGCTGGTATTGCATGCGGCTGACCCAATCAAAGCGTCAATTTTTGTTGACTGGTAGTCTCACTGAAGCTGTAACAAGGCATCCTTTGTTTGGGATGCCACGAAACCTCATGTACACTAGTACGTGCAAAGGAAGCTAGTCTACTCAAACAGCTAGTCGGAGTAAGAGGTAAGAAGGGTACTGAATTTAATATAGCTTAGCTATCAATATGACTTCAGTCTTTATCGAACTATATTAATCTACATTGTCGTATGATGACAACTTGCTCACCACTCATTACGTGCGCCCAGCAGCGATTGGTGGTAACCTTGGTTGAAATGTCTTTATCAACCAATCTTTGAGCAGCGCATGAATATTGTCCTAATAGGAGATAGTATTCCTTCACTTTTATCCTACAAGGGAATAAAATTTCTTTAATTTTATCCATCTCGGATAATGTTGGAAGAAAATTGTCACGCTAGACAATCTCCCTATTGACACCATTAGGTGTCAATATCACGTAACGGGCTACCCAGTTACATCACCACCACCCCTAAACAATCAATCACCCGTTGATTAAAAAAACTGATTGGGAAAGGGTGATCACCGTTGGATCACTTTGGGAAGGGGAGCACTTGTTGGCCAAATTCCAACTCATTTGCCAATTCATCGCATTGTGTCAAAGTCCATGCGATGTGCAGCCGAAGCAGCAAGAAAAGCGGTTGCACGCATGCGTGCAGCCAGAGAGTTCTTTTCTTGCTTCAGCATCACCTGCGGCTTCGCCTGCTGTCGCGGTTCAGCAACAGGCGGTGCCTCTTGCAAGCAGTCCACAAGGTGAGTCGCCACGTGCGAAAATACACCCGCTGTGTCTGCAGCGGGTGCTACGACTCGCAATACGGATGAGCCTGAATCCTTTATATTCCATCTCGGATAAGCCTGGAAGAAAATTGTCACGCTAGTCGACTCCCTGTGCCCATTAGGTGTCACCGAACGCCCCAGTTACCACCACCACCCCTAAACAATCAATCCCCGTTGATAAAAAAAAAAATTGAAAAAGGGTGATCACCGTTGGATCATTGGGAGGGGAGCACTGGATGCATCATCAATCCAAAGGCGTCGCCTCACGCATCCGGATAATCCGGGCGGACACTGCGAGAGCCAGGTTGACTGGCGCTGGGGAATGTGGCAGCATCATGTCCGAGATCTTCGGACCGCGCGAATTATCCCGACGAATCCTCGCCTCAAGCAAGTCCATCCGACGATAGGACGTGTGGTGGTGGTGTTGATGCCCAGGGGCGTCACCACGAGAGAAGCAACTCGAGGAATCGAGATGCCACTGGTGTCAGTGCTCATACTGACACCACTTAAGAGGCAAGGGACCGAAATGTCCTGCGCCACGTTCCTCAAGTGGATTCTCCTTGGATGCCGTCATCCAAAGGGTTGGACCGGTTGGCCGGCATGACTACCGATCGGGATCTAATTTCGTGGTTCGATTTTAGAAAGATCTTTGTCCTAATTCCAGCACGGAAACTATCCGTGCCGAGGAAGAGTTCTTCACCGATGTGTTTTTCAAGCATCGGTGGTACAATGGCAGCCGTGTTCGAGACGGCAAAGCCTTGGTGCAAGGATGGAATGCTCTCATCCATACCATCAAGTGTATTGGTTGTGAGGCCCGGGTCGGTAAACTTGATGCAGCTCGCATCAGGTTTGAGAAACGCAACCCAGTCAGGATCTGATACAAGTTGCACCGACGGTCAAGAAAGGCAGAATTACAGTGTATCTTGTGGGGTGATTTGTGTCCAGGTTACCTGGACAACTCGAACCGTGCCCCTAGGGAGGTCTACCTCCCTAATGATCCCTACTGGACGGCGCGCATCTCTTCCGAGATGACCGAAGGGATTGAAACTTTGCAATCTCTGTACTCGCGTTCGGGGAGGTCGTTTTCCAACGGCACTTCTTCAAACGCAGCGGGTTGGTCTCGTCGTAGCTCTCGACGAGACCATGGACATCAACAATCAGCTGGGCACGAGGCTCCCAGCTGTCCCACGCCCGTGGATAGCCACGCCAGCGGAAGAGGTAACTCATCCGGACGCCATTCACATCGCGTTGGTTCACGATACGCTCCATTAAAAAGCGTTGACCACCGCTTGAGTCCACTAAAGGATGTGGTGGCGACGGGAATACCTGATCCGGCTCGAGGGCCCGATCCGCTTGATGTTCAAAAGCTGAACCGTGTGACGGAATAGTTGCAAGATGACCTGGCTCACGAACGGACTTGGAGTTATGAGCTTGAGGATCTTGTAAGGGATAATTACAATTTCCTAACGCACGATCGTTCGGACGATTGTGCCGCTTTTGCGTTCGAGCAACTTGAGAACGAACGTTCGACTCGTTCTCTTCGTGACGAGCTGGCTTTAGCTCGTCGAGACATCGTTCAAATGCGTGAACAGGTCGCTTCACTAGTCGACCAGACTGGCTCGTTGAAACGGGATCACTCGAAGGTGGTCTCGGCTCTCGAACGCGGAGGTGTTCTTTGCATCTCGAAACCGGCCCGTACTGATAGTTTGGGCGGAGAAGACCGACGTAAACCGTAGGATGCGTACGCATCTTACGGTGCAGGTCAATCGTGTATGCGTGGCCGATTCGGCGCAACACACGAAATGGACCGATGTACCTGGGCAGTAATTTACTGCTGCCCACGTTTGTCACTGCGTGTTTCGGCAAGTTTACTGTAGACAGTAAAACTAGGTCTCCTACATCAAATGAAAGAACATTTGCTCTTCCATGTTTGACTGCGTTTCTCTTCTGTCTGTCTAGTGCATCTGCATTAAAGTCTTGAACGAAGTGGACAACCGCTTCGCGAGTCAGCAGAAATCCCTCTGCTGATTCATCCTTTTCAACAGCAGTGCGCATCGTGTGCACTGCTGAACGAACGTTGTCTTCACCAGTGAGGGCGTCATCATCCTCACTGTGGCGGTCATGGGCGATGCTGAATATGCCAGCATCGTTGTCATAAATATAATCGATGTCTATCGCATCGCCATCGGCATCCATGACGTCGACACCATTGTAGATATGAGATGAGCAAGAACCAGATCGGTTTTTGTTCGAGCGAGTCCACCCCCTCGTTAAACTAGAGTCACACTATAAGAAGGCGGGTAAACATGGATGGCGTAGGCCATTCACGAAGAACGGTGTATGCGTTGTCTACGCGTGCACCGAGTTGTTCATGGCGAATTCCGCCATCGGCAAGAACTCGCTCCAGCTCGTAAACGACTGGACATACGCTCGAAGTATCTCTTCTAGGACGCGGTTGACGCGTTCCGTCTGACCATCTGTTTCTGGATGGTCAGAAGTCGACATATTCAAACGTGTTCCTAGTGAACGGAACACGGATTGCCAGAACTCCGCTGTGAAGCGAGAAAGTCCCTATCAGACACGAGTTCACAGGGTACCCGTGAAGTCGGAAGATAGTATCGTTGAAGACACGAGCACAGCCCTGGGCTTTGATTGACTCTGGTACAGCAACAAGATGTACCATCTTGCTGAACCGATTAACGAACACAGCAATGGCAGTATTCTTGTAAGCGTCTTTGAGTTTCCCAAAGACGAAGTCCATCGATACGGACTGCCAACACTCTGCCGGAATCGGTAGAGGCTGAAAGGGGGCACGGAATGAGGGACCAGGCTTCACCCGTTGGCAAACTTTGCAAGAGCGAATGTATTTGCGCACAAACGCATACTGGCGGGGCCAGTAGAAGTCACGACTTGCCATGAGGTAAGGCTTTTCTCTACCGCGATACCCACTTGTTGAGGCATCGTGACACTCATACGTGATGCGCAATCGCAAATCATTATGAGCCGGAACGACGACACGAGGTGTGTCGCCGGTGACTGCTATATTGTACAGCAGTCCATCACGAACAGAATACCGTTAGGTTGAAGAGCGGTATTATGACGTCAAGCTTTTCAAAGCTTGAGTGCATGGATTGGACACGTAATTCATCAATCGCAAAAGAGACTTATCTTCTGCGTATGACTTCCGCACGTCGTCGAAGGGCCGACGCGAAAGAACATCAGCGACGTCATTGCGTATTCCTGGTTTATGCGTGACGGAAAGGTTGTACTCCAAGAAGAAATACATCCACCTCGCCATTCGTTGCGAGAGGTGTGGACTGTTTACGGCCGTGGTCGGTATAAACGATGAAGGGCCTATCTCCTAAGAGATATACCCGAAACTTGGCCAGTGCACATTTCATGGCATGGAGTTCCTTGTCATGCACCGGGTAGTTACACTCAGCTGCTTGCACCTAACGCGATTGATAATGGACGACGCGCTCAACGCCTCGTGAGTCGTACTGCATCAACGCGCAGCCGATCCCGAAATCGCTGGCGTCACAGACCACATTGAATGGTCTTTCCTGGTCTGCAATCGCCAACACAGGCGATTGTATCAAGCTTTTCTTGATACCTTCAAAAGCGTGCTGACAATCAGCGCTCCATGACCACCTCTCGTTTTTCTTTAACAGAAGAGAGAGATGTACTGTCATCTCGGCATAGTGGCGCGAGTATTTGTGCAAACACGCTGTCAAGCCAAGGAACTTTCGAATTACCTTGGCGTCGACTTGCACAGGCCAGTCGGTATTCGCCTTGATCTTTTCCGGATCAGGGCGTACACCGTTTTTACCTGCGATGCAGCCAAGAAGTGGTATTTCGTTCGCTGCGAAGATGCACTTCTTGAGGTTCGCGAACAACTTATGCTCTCGCATTATTGTGAAAACCTTCCGGACGTGGATTCTATGAGCGTCCACGCCCGTCTTTCCATCCATAGCCCGGCTATGGACGAAGCCATCGTCAAAGTAACTCGGTGCAAATCGCGCACCGATCGCAACAGATGTGATACACATCTGTTGAACGTGGCAGGGGCATTACTGAGCCCTTGTGGCATTACTAGCCATTCCCAGAGCATGCCGCTAGGCGTGCTAACTGCGGTATAGGGTATATCCCGTTCCCGCATAAGGATTTGATAGAAGCCATCCATCAAATCCATGGACGAAAAGATGGTTCTCTTTGCCATACCATCAATGATGACGTCCTTCCTTGGTATCGGCGTCTGAGCCGGTACCGTTGCAGCGTTCAATTTGTTGATCGCGTGCACTATCCGCCACCCTCCTGTGGCCTTTCGCACACAGAAGTTCGGAGAGCTGTGTGGGGCTGTTGATTCCTTCACATGGACCAGCCACTAAACGATCGGCAAAGAATTTGTCGATCGCTGTTACCTGTTCACGAGGCAGTGGCCACTGCTTCATGATACAGCATTTCGAACCAGGTTTCAGATCGATCTCATGCCGAGTGCCTTTGTCCTTGGGCAGATCGCATGGCACGGATTCAGAGAAAGCATCCTTGAATTCAACCAAATCTTGTACAAAGGATTTGTCTTCAAAGACTCCCAAGATTGAGACGTGTATCGATCAATTCGGGTTTTCTCACAGAGAACACTCTCTTTCATCGATGAACTACTGAGATCCCGTTCGTTCTCAGCAGACACTTATGCCGACCGAATGTCGGCGACGTACTCGTACTCTGAGACGAGTACACAGATGTGCTTGATCTTGTCACAGTGCAGATATCGCCAGAATCTTTTAGATTCTAGCGTTGGCAACTTGATTACCTCCGAAGCTGACTTCGAGGGTGTAACCAGATAACGTGTATAAGCGCCTACACTTGATCCGTCATGCACCGAGAAATTCACTGTCTCGGTGATTTCCTGGGAATACACATCCACAGGTGGTTGGGGATCCACACCCTCAACATAACTCTCTCGGGAGTTGTGACTCTCAGGAACGCTGAAACTTTCTTCCAATGCGTGTTCTGAATGTGGATGCACTACCACAGTCCCGTCCTCTTCGATCGACTTTCTTTCTGTCGATCGAGCTTGCTCTACGATCGACTCTGATAGCCGATCTCGCTTCAACGTGTTGTTCATCCTGAACAACACTACTCTCTCTTCTCAATCTCGCTTTAACGTGTTGTTCATCCTGAACGACACTCAACTATCTTCTTGGATGCACCCTGCTTGGTGTGCATCCATGTTCCAGTCCACTCGATCTCTTTGAGTAGTGAACCTTCGGCGCAGCCTGTGTCTCTACACAGGTTCCGGAAGCTGGTTCCACAGTGTAGTGGTCTTCTACACTGTGATCTTGTGCAATCGTACTAACGACCGTACCACAAGTGAGTCCATCGCACTCACTCATAGTACATCCACACGCTTGTGGACGCTCCTAGACGTTCATCAGATGGCCATTCGATGAACAAACGGCAGGCATCTTCACGGATAGATGCTGCCCAACTACCCCACGGCTGGTACTTTTAGGCCATGGCAGACCAAGGATGACATCGAATTTGTCATCCAAATTCAGTATGTTGAATTCATCATCGTACTGCTTTCCTTTTAGCGTTTAGTGGATTCTCACTATACGTTTGTTCACTGTTTCGGATGCACCTGTAGCAAGGCACACTGTCATCCTCTTTGGAGGGAACTCTCGCTCAACATAGTTGAGCCTACTATCCTCTAGCAACGGGCGTCGAATAAAACTGTTCGACGACCCACAGTCAACTAGGGCGCGAAGTGAAATTTCACTTGTCACCTCGATCTTAAAAGCGATGAGGGACTCCTCACACTAGGGGCAGTAACACACAGTGAATGCGTTTTGGGAGCAATCATCGTCAAGAGTCCTGCAAATTCTCTTGACGTTGCTAGAGCAACAGGGTGCTCCGCCCCTACTGACCCTGTCCTTTTTTCGACGGTCCGACTTGTTGTCGCGGTTTTGCGACATGGTCGGACCCACGCCTTGGATCTTTCCTCAGACAACGGCGGTCCTCACGTCCTGGCTTTGGACGTGTTGTGGTGCTTGGGACACTACACTCATGAGCGTAGTGCCCAATCTTCTGACAGCGATGGCATCTAGCCGTTCGCTTGTGACTCAGAGAGCGAGATTTCTCGCTATCGATGTAACAGAGGTCCATTCATTCGGGACCTCCTGTTTCCTGTCGTCTCGTCGGACGATAGTTTGACGAGTTAGCCTGAGACTGTCTCAGGCTGAAGTCTTCTTGTTCCGCATACGCTATTATCTTTTCCAGCGTGTGGAAGTTCTCTCGGAATGTGTAGGTCTTCACCGGCCCATCCTCAAGGCCGTACATGAACACGTTGATGAGCGTGTGCTTATTAACAGGGTTTTTTTGTAACTCTACTCGCAAGGTAGCGCAGGTTCTGTACGTAAGAGTGACGTCGCGCTTACCTTGCTTGAGCCTCAGGAGTGCAGAACATGCTCTGAACTCGGCTCTTGGCGGCTCAAACGTCTCTTTGAGCCGAGAATTCAAGATCTCCACCGACTCAAACATGTTTAAGTAGGAAGCTGATCCCTAAGGCTCAAGTCTTTGCTCATCCCGTCAGATCTGACGGGGCGAAGGTGACTTGCATCTCGTCACCCTTGATGTGACGGGCCCTGATGGCACCGTCTGAATCGACGAACCATCTCAAAAGGGAATCTTCATCGGTTCCATTGTACCTTGAGATATCGATCTTCAAGGTTTCGTGTCGACGCATGTGCATCGGCCCGCCCATCGACTGATGAGAGCCTTGCTGTTGTAGCAAGGCTATCTTCTGTCGGTCGACGGCGAGGTCCCCTTATAGGAACTTGTTGATAGCAGCATGTTGTTAATCTCTGTTTAGAGAATCCAATTTGCCACTGATGGCGGCTTCGCCCATGAGCACACTCATGCGTCCGACTACCTCCCATTCCGGGTCATTCAGATGGGAGCAGCCTTCACGTGTGACGTGAAAGCTGTCGTCTTCTACGTTCAACATGTTCATGTTCGACGGACACTAAGTAGTCGTTGGACGGACTACGGAGTAATACCAGGTGTACCGGGGCACCCTGTGTATGGGGTGCCACGAAACTTCACGTACACTAGCACGCGCAGAGGAAGCTGATTGACTTGAACGACTCTGTCAAGCAAAGGTAAAAAGAGAACTATATTAAATATAGCTTAGCGATCAATATAACTTTAATCTTTATCTAACTAAATAAATCTACATTGTCGTATGACGAGAACCTGCTCACCACTCATTACGCGCGTCCAGCAGCGATTGGTGGTAACCTTGGTTGAAATGTCTTTATCAACTAATCTTTGAGCAGCGCATGAATATTGTCCTAATAGGAGATAGTATTCCTTCACTTTTATCCTACAACGGAATAAAATTTCTTTAATTTTATCCACCTCGGATAATGTTGGAAAAAAATTGTCACGCTAGACAATCTCCCTATTGATACCATTTAATGTCAGTATCATGTAGCGGGCTACCCTGTTACAAAGGCTCTCGTCGTATCAGTAAAACCTGTCGCTGCTGCCGTGTTTAGATCACACACCAATATGCCTTTGTTGCAGTTGTATAGTGGAACCGACGACTCGAGGATGTCCATTCGGTCGGAGCGTACACATCCCCTCCCGGATGGCCACTATTTACTTGATACTCTGGGGCTAGCAAGTTCAGGGCCCCCAACTATCCAATATCGGTATTTATGCTTCTACGAGAGGCTTCAGCTCAGTGCTACAAGGGCACGCGGGTGGTATCGTTGAGACTATAGGTGGTTGCTCACATAATTTAAGAACCTTAAGTTGGTCTTGAGAGTCCGGAGTAGGGATCGAATCCAGACCACTGTATTGGACTGGTGCTGTTCTGACCATTGCACATGGTGGGAACACTATCACGCA